TATGGGCATACACTTATTTAAGTATTCATTTATGATACTTTTAGTGTCTATGGTATGTAATAATGATCCTTATTTCATATTTGATATTAGTAACTTGTATCTTCCTCCTTTTTGTTAGCCTGTCTAGAAGTTAATCTTTTTTTTTTTTTTTCTGAGAACTAGTCTGGTTTTTGTGATTTTCTCTATTGCTTTCCTATTTTCAATGCCACTGATTTCTGTTATAATTTGTTATTCCCTTTTCTGCTTTAGGTTTAATTTTCCTTTCTTTTTATAGTTTCCTAAGGTGTAAGCTTAGGTTATATACTTTAGATCACTTCCATTCCTGTCCCCCTTCCTCATTACCCTCCTATTCCATTTGAGGGAAACAAAGAAGTTCACTACCACACAAAGAGGAACACTGTGCTGTGTTACCTTGGAGTGCTCAACAAAGAGTTTCAAAATAAATTAAACTGATGTCAACAGATAGCTGCCACTTTCTTGGAACAGAGACAACTGAAGTAAACCAGCCCTGACTGCTTTAGCTGATCTGTAACATTCTATAGCTAACTGAAATACTAAAATCTCCACCTAGTGGTGAATTATAACAACATGAGTTATATGAAGACTTCCTAATGATTGTACTGCATATGCTTGATTTGTTTCAGCATGAATATGCAATGATACAATGTAAGAGCTCTGCATCACTCACTGGGAAGAGATTTAAGGCCAACACCACCGGTAGGCAATGTGGCATAGTTTTTGTTCTCTAAAGAACTCCTACACTGCCCAGGATTTTGAGTGTCTAGAGAACTAAATGTCCAGGGAACTCCTGTGCAAGGAGTGAATGTCTTGTGTAAGTAGCCTCTAATAAACTCATCTAACTTACCAACCTAGACTTCTCTGAGTCATTCTTTGGTCTCTCAGATCCATCTCAGTTTAGGAGTTGGGGGTTTGCAGTTTTTCTACACTGTACTGGGGTTTTCCTGAAACATTGTTTTTCTTCTTTTTGATTTTTCTTCTGGCATTTCAGTTTTGCAAATACAAAGAATTACATATACTCCTGTCTTCCTTTCTTACTCAAAAGATAGCTTTCAATGTGCATCTTTCTGCTTCCTCTTTTCTTGACATATTTTGACTATCACCCTTTATCTGTGTATAACCTGTTATCCCTACTATGGCTGTGTTTAGATTTAACCCAAGTTTAGTTAACTAGTCAATGATGAACATTTGGATTGTTAACAATATATTGCTATTACAAATAATGCTGCAAGGAATAGCCCTTGTGTATATGTCATTTTGCAATGTGCAGGCATTACTAGCACTTTTCTGGGTAAAATATAACACATCTGTAGTGTCAAAAATTATATTTATTAAAGACAGATATGATTGTATTATAGTTTTACTTCAAACCTCAATGGATATTCATTGCTTGAAAACTTGAAAATATGACCTCAATAGTATAGATTCTCTTGGTCTTCTTCCATATCTTGTACCACATTCCTGCTTGCTCTCTCTGTTCCAAATGTACTGATTTTTTTTAGGACCCTGTACTCATTATTTTCTCTTCTACTGGGGCTCTTCATATTTGTTCTTTTCTTGGCACAGAATATTTATATTTCCTTACTTAACTTACTCCTAGACATTCCTTAAAGCTTTTCTCATGTGTCAGTGGATCTTTTTCTTTGAGTTTGACAATTTTCATTAAAAAAGTAAAAAGAATAGTTTAGTGAGCTCCTACCTTGATATATCCTTCACCCAGCTTTAACAAATTATCACAAGTATTTTCTAGAAACTTTTCTTGACCTAGGAAACTGTTCAAATCACCCTATAAAAATTAAAAATGTGGTGTTAAATAGGTTAAAAACTGCACAGATATTTACCAAACAGTGGATATTAAGTAAACCATTCTTGAATTATAACTGCATTTCTTCTCACATACTATACAAATCAGGGTTCAGAGGAGAACCATTAGAAAATATATAGAGATTTTTCCTTGTGATCTAATACATAATTTGATGCAGCCAAAGCACTCCTAAATGCTTATATTAGAAAAGGGGAAAGACTGAAGTCAACAGTCTATGATCTCACATTAAAAGAAAATAAAAGGCATATGTATCAGAAAGGAAGATATTCAGCTGACATTTCTCTTAGACAACATGTTGGCCTATAAAAAAATTCCAAGAAATTTTCAAAAATCCTCCTAGAACTACTAAGAGAGTTCAGGAAAGTACAGCAAGATCTCAGTATAAAAGAGCAATATACAAAAATCAATCTTATACCTATAAACTAGAAACATGTATGGGAAACAAATTAAAAACACAGGCTCAGAGCCTATAAGCTCATTGAGTAGAGTGCTGGTCACATACACCAAGGCTGGTGGGTTTGAGCCTAGCCTGGGCCAGCTAAACAACAATGATAACTGCAATAAAAAAATAGCTGGGCATTGTGGTGGGCTCCTGTAGTCCCACCTATTGGAGAGGCTGGGGCAGGAGAATCTCTTAAGCCGAAGAGTTTGAAGCTGCTGTGAGCTGTGATGCCATAGTACTCTACCGAGGGTGACACAGTAAGACTCTGTCTCAAAACAAACAAACAAACAAAAAAAAAATTAAAAGCACAATGTCATTAACAATCAATCAAATGAAATACTGTGTAAACTTAACAAAACATGTGCAAGATGTTTATATTGACAACTACAAAACACTAAAAGAAGAAATCAAAATCTAAGTAAACAGAAAGATACATTATGTTTATGGATTATTAAGACTCAACAGAGTAAAGATGTTAACTGTCACAAAACTGATAAATAGGTTTAATTTAATTCCTACCAAACACCCAACAAGATTTTTTTTGAGACAGAGTCTCACTATGTTACTCTTGGTAGAGAGCTATGGCGTCACAGCTCACAGCAACCTCAAACTCTTGGGCTTAAGTGATTAAGCTCAACCTCAGCCTCCCAAGTAGCTGGGACTATAGGCACCTGCCACAATGCCTGCCTATTTTTTGGTTGTAGTTGTCACTGTTGTTTAGCAGGCCCAGGCCGGGTTTGAACTCACCAGCCCTGGTGTATGTGGCCAGTGCCCTAGCCACTGAGCTACAGGCACTGGACCCCAATAAGATTTTTTTTAACACAGTAGCATTATTCAAATATTTATATGTAAAAGAAAAGTAACTGGAATACCTAAAAAAAGACTGAAAAATATATAATGTAGGAAGTATCACTCTATCTGATTTAGAGAACACAGAAATAGACCCATACAAGTATAGCCAACTGATTTTTAACAAAGGTGAAAAAGCAGTTCAGTGAAGGATAATAGTGCTGGATGGAGCAAATGGATATCCACAGGCCAAAACAAACAAACAAACAAAAATCTCAAACTTAATGTCCTTTGCAAAAATTAACTCAAAATGCACTATAATTTAAATACAAAATATAAAATGACATAATTTTTTAAAAATAGGGGAAAACATTTGGGCCGACAACTTGGCAAGGTGTTTTTAGACATGACAAAATTATTTAAAAATCAATAAATTGGACTTCACCAAAATAAAAAACATACTGTATTCTTATAAAAGACCCTATAAAGAAGATGAAAAGACAAGTTAAAGACAGGTATGAAAATATGCAATCCACATATTTGACAAAGAACTAATATCTAGACTTCATAAATTCTTAAAAGTCGATGGTTAAAAAAAAATCTCCATCAAAAAATGGGCAAAAATTGGCCAGATGCAGTGGCTCATGCCTTAATTCCAGTGCTTCGGGAAGCCAAGGCAGTAGGATTGCTTAAGACCAGGAGTTTGAGACCAGCCTGGACAACAGATTGAGATCCCATCTCTACAATTTTTTTTTTTTTTTAATTATCCAGGCATGGTGACACAAACCTGTAGCCCCAGCTGTGTGTGGGGCTGAATCATTAGGATTGCTTGAGCCCAGGAGTTGAAGGTTGCAGTGAGCTATGACCACACAACTAGCCAGGGTAAATAATATTCTTTCTCAAAATAGAAAAATAAAAAAAAGCTTTTAAAAAAGGAAAGCCAGACATGGAGAGGAAAGGTTTCTAAAACATATATCTAATAAAGCCTAAACTTCTTCCACGTAATAATAAGACAAACCCCCCTAAAAACCAAACCAAAAATGGGCTAAATATTTGATCAGACACTTAATGAAGATTTATGAATGGCTACAAAGCACATGAGAAAAGATTCAACATCATTAGACACCAGAGAAATGTAAATTAAAATATAATAAGACATAACTAGAGACCAACCAAAATGGTTAAAAATAATAAGACTTACCAAGTATCAGTAATCAAAGAGCAATGAGAACTCATAGATAATGCTTTGGGCATGAAAAACATAGAGTGATTTTGGAAACATTTGGTAGTTTCTTATAAAGTTACACGCAAACTTATTTACCAGAAGACCTACCAAATCCACTCCTAGATATTTACACAAGAGAAATGAAAATATGTTGACACAAAGTCTTGTAAGTGAATGTTCACAGCAACTTTATTCATAATAGGACCAAACTGGAAAAAAGCCCATGTCAACCAACTGATAAAGGACAACAAATTGTGGTATATGCATGCAAAGGAACACTGCTTAAGAAAAAAATAATTAATTACTGATACACACAAACACATGCATGAGTCTTAAAAGCATCATACTAAAGGAAAGAAGCCAGACAAAAGGGAATATATACTCTATGATTCCATGTACATGAAGTTTGAGAAAAGGCAAAATTACTGTAATAGAAAGCAGATCAATAGTTGCCAGGATTCAAGGGGTAGGTATGAGGGGAAGGAGAATCACAGCAAAGGGCTACTAGAACTGGAAATGTTCTAAATCATGACTGAAAGGTGGTAAGCAATTGTACACATCTTTCAAAACTCACTGACTTGTATACTGAAAGGTGCTGAATTTTATTTTCTGTTAAATACACCTCAATAAAAGTGATTAACATGAAAAAAGAAAAAACACAATTACACTGTAGAGGGAGTCACATGGTAAGGTCTGCTCACCCACTGAGACAAGGTGGCTATAGTTCTCCAGCATCACATCTCTGTACAAGTTCCTCTGAACAGGGCCCATCTGCTGCCACTCCTCCCAGGTAAATTCCACAGTCACGTCCTTGAATGACACTGATGCCTGTAATGGCACATTTCTGATTATTTCAAAATTCAGGACAGAAAAATATTTTTGTAAACTAACCCATTATGTTTACTGTTGAGAGTTTAAAACAAACTACAAATAAGAATGCCTATCAAGGCTCTAATGCTATCTTATACTTGAGAATACTTAATCAACACAAACACTTTCATGCTGATTTTTATATATATACATTTTTAAATTATATGTGTTCTGTAACTTAATATACTAAAGAAACTTAGGGCCTTCTTTGTTTTAGGTACAATTACTATAAACAGAATTCCTGTATACATTTCTCCTACATCAGTGGATTACAATGAGTACTCTGTAGAGCCCATACCCCAACCTGGAGATCTCTGCTGAAGAGGTATGTGTAAGCCCAAGAGGTATTCAACAAAACCAGATTCACATTTCAGAAGCAATGATCTAGAACAGGGTTTTTTTTAGCTTGGCACTCCTCACACTGTACACTTTTGTGAAGGACCATCCTGTGCATTTTAGGGTGTTTAGTAGTATCCCTATCTTCTACACACTAGATGCCAGGAGCATCACCAGTTGGGATAGTCAAAAATATCTTCAGGGGGGCAAAATCACCTCCAGTTAGAAATCACTGCTCTATGTGAATAGTGGTCTTAAGCAACAACGACCCAAGTTAAGAGGTGATCTATATTGAGGCAAAATGGCAGAGATAAAAGAATGGAAAGCTAAACATCATAGGAAACACAATCTGTTCATTGTTTTCTTATGTAGCTATACACAGAGATGCTATACTATTTGCAGAAATTGGAAAAATAAATAAGAATAAGAGATTGGCCAGAAGGTTGTAGTGAGGCAGAAGTTTTTCATTTGCACTCAGAATACTTGTGGAACATAAAGACTTACTTAACTCCTCCACTTGTGGCTACATGATTTTGGAACAGATAAGGAAGAAAGAAAATAAGTATCTAGGAGACATCAGTCCTTATATGGTAACTAAAGTCATAAGAGAAAAAGAGCTGGCTCAGAAAGGACACAGACTGGGGAGAGAAAAGGACCATGTAAGGCATTTAAGGAAACAGCAATATTTACGAAGTAGGTCATGAAAGGTCAGAAAAAGAACAGGTCATGAAGTAGGTCAGAAAAAGAACAGGTCATGAAGGATGAGAAAGAAGTTTTAAATGATGAAAAGAGACATCAGAGAGATTAGACTACTGAAAAATTAAGAGAAGAGGCTTGGCGCCTATAGCTCAGCAGTTAGGGCGCTGGCCACATACACTGGGCCTGGTGGGTTTGAACCTGGCCCAGGCCTGCCAAACAACAATGACAAGTACAACAACAAAAAAATAGCCAGGTGTTGTGGCAGGTGCCTGTAAGTCTCAGCTAGTTGGGAGGCTGAGGCAAGACTTTGAGGTTGCTGTGAACTGTGATGCCATAACACTCTATTGAGGGTGACATAGTGAGACTCTGTCTCAAAAAAAAAAAAAAAAAAAGAAAGAAAGAAAGAAAGAAAAAGAGAGAACTATAAACATGAATGACTCTTTTAGTTCAAGATAACAGACAAAGCACACATAAGTATATCCCCTGCCTTCAAAAACACACTTAGGTAAAATACAAAACCCACTATAATTTATTACAAAAGAGGAATACAGGGAAGTGTTCCAGAAGCTGGAAAATCTGCACAAATTCTGGAAGATACAGGGTAAGAGAGTAGTAGATAGTGAAACACAGCAATGCTGCCCACCATCTAATACAAATGTAGAGGGGAAGGAGTTGAGTGCTGATGAGAGCCCAGAGACAGAGATGTCCACACTCAATGTCCACACTCAAAACTAAGTGTGCCAGAGGGAGAGTAAATAACTGAAAACCCTTAGGAGGGCTTCATTTTGTGTCTGTTCTGTGTGCATCTGCAAGAAATTTTCATGAGAATAACTCTCAGGAGAAAAGCTTAAGGAGCTCTGGGCAGCCAAAGGGAGAAGCACGGGCTTTTGTATCTGAAGTTTGATGATGCTTCTACAAATGATGCCTAAGTATAAACTTTCATTTTATGATTGGTCATTGAAGGTATATAGATATAATTTCCATCATTTTATACTGATCTTGTATCCAGCTAATTGCAAACATCAATTCTAATCGTTTATCTGTAAATTCTACTGGATTTTTTAATATATGCAATCATGTCATCTCTAAAAAATGAAGTTTTATTTCTTCCTTTCCAATCCTTGTACTTTTTTATTTCTTTCTCTTTCCTTTGTTTCTCTAACCAACACCCCAGGTTAAAATTTCCAACACATTATTTTCAAACTCAGGAGAAACCCTTCCATATGAAATTACAATGTTAAGTTTTTTAACACACTATCAATCAAATTAAGAAAGAGCCCTTTTATTCTCAGTATGTTAAGAATTCATCATTAATTGGTATTAAATTTTCTCAAATCCTTTACTACATATAATCATATGATCATGTATGTTTTTTCTTCTTTACTTTTACTATGATGAATTACATAATTTTTTGATTAGCTCAAATTTACATTCCTCAAAGAAAAAGGTGGAAGACTCTCATGACCTGATTTTAAGACTTACTGTTAAGAAACATACATCAATACAGTGTGGTATTAGCAAAAAGATAAACATAGCTCATAATAAGCAAAGAGAATCCAGAATCAGATGCACATAGACATCCAATTAATTCATGTCCAATAGCGGTGTCAAGGCAATTCAATGGCAACAGTACATTCTTTTTACCAAACAGTGCTAACAGATGCATGTGCAAAGATGGAGAGCACAAATATGGCAAATATATGTTCACCTATCCCGATATTTACAGTATGATGCCAGCAGATGTCCTCAAACTTCGGCCCACGGGTCACATGCAGCCCACCTAGGACATTTATCCAGCCCACTGGGTGTTTTTATTGCTGCTGCCTGTCCTGCTTAGCAGCTGACTTGTCCCAGGGCCTGTAGTCCAGCCCTCCAACAGTCTGAGGGACAGTGAACTGGCCCCCTGTTTAAAAAGTTTGAGGACTCCTGCATCTCAATTCAAGCGAAGAACCTCAGACCTTAAAATTATGAATCCAGGTTTCAGATCGGGCCAACTAGAATATATTTTGACCTTTCTCTCATATTTGGACCAGGTTTTATGCTAAAATAAAATTTAAAAGCCAACCATAAAAGGAATTATTGATATACCAAAGGAAATAAAGACTTTGTAATCCCAAGAGACTAAAATCAGCTTATGCACGTTTAAAAAGGTAAATAAAAATAAACAACTTTCTATGAAAATGTAATGGAAAAATTATATTAAAAGAAATACAAATCCAATACAGGCTTATGATAAGTTAATTAGTAAATTGACTAATAAATTTATTGAGTAATCAAAATCTTCACACAAAGGGTCCTCACAAGGTCAAAATTTATAGGCGAGTTTCACAAAAATCTACATAAAACACAATTTTCTCATTTTTCTAAATTATTCTTTTTTTTCTGTTTTTTTTTTTTTTTTGCAGTTTTTGGCCAGGGGCTGGATTCAACCCACCACCTCCAGCATATGGGGCCAGTGCCTTACTCCTTTGAGCCACAGGCACCACCCAAAACCATATAATCTTTGCTTGACCACCTTGGGA